GCGGCGACCCGATTCGGAACCCTGACGTGCTCCCGACCGGCAAGAACATGCACGCCCTCGACCCCCAGTCCATCCCCACCAAGGCCGCGGTCGACACGGGCCTCGTCGTCGTCGACAGGCACCCCCCCCCACGCGCCCTTGCGCGCGGTGCCCGTGCTCGCGGTGAGGCGCCTGCCACTCTCGGGGTGGACGACAGGGTGGATTGATGAAGGGCGGAAGGGCAAGCAAGCAAGCACGCCGTGCATCCATCACAGAGCGTGTCCACTACTCGCAGAGTGCCCACTCGCAAGCGTTTCAAAAAACAGATGTTTTCCTCCTCTATGTAATGGATCGCAAATCCCCCACGGCGGATCCAGGCCATTTGCGAGTAGCTACTTTGCGAGTAGTGGAGCGCGCTTGCCGAATCCAGAGGACCCGTAGGCAACGCAATTACTGAAAAGTGCTGGTGGTGCGCCAAACGCGCCCCAGAGGCAGCCCCAAGCCACGCGCTGCGATGGTGAGCGTCGTTTCATTCATCCTTTTGCCGATCGGCGCGGGCCCCCCCCCCTGGAGTAGATCTTGGCTGTCTTGGGCGCCTGTTTCGAGCAGGTGGAGTCTTCCCTCGTGGGACCCAGTGCTGCAAACAGCCGCACGAAGCAGAGGTCCGGAGCCAGACCCCCCCCCGCTTCTCCTCCCCCCACTTCCGCCCAGTGTCGAAGCGCCGACTCAGCAAACGCTCACAAGGCGACGCTGGGCCTGCGAGGGCGGCCGCGTTCAGCCCCGGCCTGGGCTCCGCCGCCAGGAGGCACTTCCCTCCTCGGCACACGGCCGCCTCCTGGCGCACCGCGAGGCGCCCGAGAAGTCAGCGACGCACATGCCGGTGATCCCTTTTCCCCCCCCTTTTGCTAAGTTCAAGCAGGGGCGAAGCGTCCTGGCGTGCTATAGGCCTACCAAACACTGTTGTAAGAGCCTTTGAGTGGTTTCCACGGAGTGTTCTTAGAACATTTCTAGCTGGGACTGTCTTGTTTCAACACATCAGCTTTATGTTCTAAGAACACTGTTCCCCAATCAGAGCTTGCCTCTGTAGGGGTCCTAGCGGATATAAAGCTGAGGTGAGGTGAGCGGCCGATTTCGGTGGCCAGGGCCGGGTGCCCGGGTGCCCAGGGGTTCCCGGGGGTGCCCGGATGCCCAGGTGTGTGGCCGATTTCGGTGGCCGGGGCCGGGTGCCCGGGTGCCCGGGGGAGCCCGGGGGTGCCCGGGTGCCCAGGGGTGCCCGGGTGCCCGGGGTGCCCAGAAGTGCCCGGGGGTGCCTAGCCCAATAGCCCTATATCCCTATAGCCCAATAGCCCAATCGCCATACTTCCCTATAGCACTATAACCCTATAGCCCTATAGCCGTATCTATACGACCACCCTTCGGGTGATAAGGAGGTTCGGGTGGGGGGGGGGGAACCAACGTCTCACTCGATCGGTCTCACTATCGATCTCAGTATCGATCTCACTATCGGTCTCGCTCGATCGATCTCACTCAATCGATCTCTCACAATCGATCTCACTCGATCTATCTCATTCAATCGATCTCACAATTGATCTCACAATCGATCTCACAATCGATCACACGATCGATCTCACATTCTGTCTCAATATCGATCTCACTCTCGATATCACAATCGCTCTCACAATCAACGTCATCATCATCATCATCATCATCATCATCAACATCATCAACATCAACATCATCACCAACATCGTCATCATCATGAGGACACCGTCATCATCATCATCATCATCATCATCATCATCATCATCATCATCATCATCATCATCATCATCATCCGTAGCCATTTTGGCTCAAGCCATTTTGGCTCAAGTTCGAAACCTTGCCGCGAGGCTTCGAGCTTGTCCGCAGCCGTGCGGCAGGCTCGGGTGTTTTTGGCGTGTGTTCCCTGGTGTGCTGCCCTGTCACCAGGTGCTTCTATTAGCCCTGTCAGATCCAACTTTCTAGTAGGTGATCCTCAGGGCGATTCTTCACTCGGCACAGCATTTTGCCTGCCAACAGGCTGCCGCGATGGCCGCCACTCTCTCCATGGACCAGAAGATGGATCAGCTGCTGGCATCAATGTCCACCGTCGTAGCCACCGTCAATGCCCACGACGCTAAGTTTGCCAACCTCGCCAAAGACATGGAGAGCATGAAGACCGACATGCGCAATGAGATGGACATCAAATTCGAGCACATGCAGAACCAGATCATCGCCCTGCAGCAGCGCCACGGCAACATCACGGGCGGCGAAGCCTCTGACGAGATGGTCGACACATGCCTGACGGTTTCACTACTTAGCGCTCAGACCGACCAGAAGATCAGCGTCATCAATGCCGCACTCGAGGAGCTGAAGACCTCTGTCGCTACGATTTCACGACCACCTTCGACGGCGTCTGGCATCGCCAGCACATGGGGGACCGTGGCCACGCCCCGTGGAGCTAGCGCCGCGCCTGCTGACAGGCGAAAGCTCTGGGTGCGAGGGTTCCCTGTCAAGCTGATGGCTTCTGCATTCGACAAGCACTTCGAGTTCCTGAAGACACTTCTCTCGCCCACCTACCGCGACAAGTGCAGCGCAATCACCAAGAGCTGCAAGTACGCTTACGTCATCATCTTCGAAGACGCCGGCGACGCCAAGAATGCCCTGTTGCACCTGCGTGCCATGACGCTAGAATGGGGAGATGGCAGTGGATTTCGGCATCGGCTTCGGGTCGGCACCGACGAACCCATCGACATCCGCAAGAAAGGTTGGGTGCTGGGCCAGGTCTGGCAACACATCAAGCAGGTCATGACCGACGCTGGCACATGGCGTCCTGACTCGCAGCTCCGATGCAACAAGTACATGGGCCTCTGCTTCTTGGTCAACGGCGACCTCGTTGACGAGCTCGTCGTGTTGCAGAATGTCCTCGAGACCGACAACCCGAACGTCGAGCCCAACCGCGGCAACTTGAAGCGCTACGGCTTCACCGACGAGCAAGTAGACAAGCTGCCCGAGCTGGTCACTGCTGCGCTTCGCCGCGAATAGGGGCGGAGTGAGCCAGTATCTGGGAGCGATAGTGACGATGAATTCGATCCTGAACGGTTGCGAGCCCTGCTGCGAGAACGGGGGGAGGCCACCTCGACACCGCCTGACTCTCTTCCTCCTGAGAATGCTCCAGCTATTCATGATCCCTACCTTCCTGATCCACACTCTCCTGGGGGAGGTGAAGCTGCTCTTGCTGAGCAGCGGCATCCATTTGTTATTTCTCGTACTATGGGTCTTGCTTCTTGGAATACTCGTGCATTTTTTGGCAGTGTTTACGGCGATCCACAGAGACAGCATCGGAAACAGCAGATTTTCAGAAGTCTTGTACAACGCTTTCAAGTAGTATTTTTGCAGGAAACCCACGGGACCGAAGAAGATCTTTCCTCGCTGGATCGTGACGTGCCAGCACACACGCACCTTGGCTCTTTTTGCTCTTCTGCGGCTGCGGGAGGCGTTACCATGTCTATTGATCCTTCCTTGCTCCAGCTCTTTCAGGACATCCACGTAGTTAACATTATCGATGGACGATGCATAGCAGTTACACTGACAGGCGAGAAAGGCACGCTGCAATTGATTAACTTTCACCTCGACCCTACCCTCTCCGACGTTGAGAAGGATCGTGTGATCCGCGCGGTTGCTGCTCACGCTCTGCCTGCTGATCAGGCCACAGTCATCTTGGGAGGCGATTTTAACTTCTTGGAGGAGGGGGAGATGAGGACGTTCACAGACGGAAGGGAACCCACCCCTGAGAGGACCGCTATTCTACACATGTTTTCTCGGGCTTTCGGACACTTTGCTGAAGTTGCCCAACAGGAGCCCACTCATCGGACTGGGAGGAGGGAGGACGGTGCTCTCAGCCTTGGTCGCCTGGATAGGTTCTACATCTCTTCTGCCACCACCGACATTCTTGATGCGACACCAAGAAGCGGTGTCATAGGCCTTGCTCATGATGTCGCCCAGCCGAGCGACCATATCCCTGTTTGGCTTCAGTTTTCGCCTGGCGGCAGAACTGCCCCGACGATCCCCTCCTGGATTGCCAAACATCCTGATTTTGGTTCTGAGGTTGATACTGCCATAAGTTCGGTTGAAATGCCCCGGGACCCGTTCGAGTACCTCCTGTCCGTCAAAGACGCGATGTATGTTGCCAAGGATGCTCTGATGACTCGCATGTTCTTCCGAGGCCCCAACAATGATGCGCAGAAGTTGTCGGTTTACCTGAAGTTTCTACGGGCTGTTCGGGATGGCAAGTCTTGGGGCGTTCGGAGGTGTATCCAGGCTATTCCTCATCTTAGTCTACATGTTCATGCTGATGAATGTTGTTTTAGAGATTCTGTGGCTTTTTATCGGGAAATGGCCGAGCTCCAGCATTCTCTGCTTCAGCGAGAAATTCGCGAACACGTCGAAGGCGGCGGAGCCCCTGACGACGATCGAGGCCTCAGGTTGCACCAGCTTCTGCGACAGTGGTCTCCCAAAAGGCGCCGAATCGTTTTGGTTTCGGTCCCCGACCCCACCGGGAACCCCTCGCCTGATCTCGAAGTCAGTGCTCAGAACCTTGCGTCCCACTGGGGGCGGGTCCATGCCGCGAAGCCTCAGGACAGGGGATACCACTTCCAGAAGACACTGTTGAGCAGTTAGATTCAGCAGGTTGCCCCAGGTATCGAGTGGACGCTCGACCTGCATAGCTTCATAGGTAAGCTCGTCAGCCGCAAGGACAGCGCGACTGGCCCTGACGGAATTCCCTACAGTGCCTGGCGGTTCGCTGGAGACGCTGCTCACAATGCCTTGTATCAAGTTTATCTCGCTATATTGGACAATCCTACATATGGGCCCCCGCATAAAGGCTTCAACGAGTCTCTCACGGTATACCTCCCTAAGGCCATCTGCCCTCACGAAGCTGGAACCTCTGAGATCTCTCGGGAAGCGTCTATGGTTCGCCCTATTGCTCTCAGCAACACTGATAACAAAATAGTATCATTGGCCATATGTGAACCATTTAGCCAGCAATGCCAGTACAGCGTCTTAGGCTCCCAGACGGGCTTCGTGCGCAAGAGGTCTACGCTCGACAACTTACTCTGCCTTGAGGCAGACATTCTTGAATACGCCTGCTATCGCGGCATGCCGCACGCTGGGCTACTCCTCTTGGATTTCCGCGCCGCGTTCCCGTCGCTGCGCCACGACTGGATCATAGATGTGCTAATCATGATGAACATACCCATGTATATCGTGAATGCCATTCGGTTCCTATACACCGGTATTTACACACACATATGCCTAGCAGGAAAGAAGTTTCCAGGCTACTCGATCACCCAAGGCATTAAACAAGGATGTCCGCTGTCGGGTGCTTTATTTGCGTTATGCATCGACCCGCTGCTGCGCCGATTATCTAACTTGCTAGCTCCTGTTTGTGCTACCCCTCGTGCCTTTGCAGATGACATCCAGATCTCGGCATCCAACCTGTTGCTCGCTGTTCCGATTGTGCTGAAGAATGTTATTAGGTCCAGCCGTTGCACTGGCCTGCTCTTGAACCTTGCCAAGTGTATGATCGTGCACGTGCAAGAGATGCCAGACGACCAGCATTTCGCCCTGTTCGAGTCCGTTCGCACCAACGTTCGCTCGCTTATGCACGGCACTAGTGGCAAAGTCTTGGGTGTCTTTCTGGGCCCTGGAGGTTACAAGCAATCCTGGTCCGCTCCGCTTCAGAAATATATTAATCGTGTCCGTCATGTTCGATCGCTTCGTCTTGGGCTTACTCAAAGTATATATGCATATAACTCCTTGGCCTTCTCGGTTCTCACCTTCGTGATGCAGCTATGTTACATATCGCAGGACGCTCTTCGCATGGAAACCAAAGGTTTGCAGACTCTCACCGCATGCCCCTTCTACAGCATCCCTACTGATCTTCTCCGCAATCTCTCGTCTGCGTTGCATTGGCCCATTGCCCCGCGCAACCTAGTGCTGGAGAATCAGGCTGCCATGTATCGGGTCGCTGTTCGGTCTAAGGTTTTTGATAGCATTCGGAAGCGCTTTCATGAGCTTGAGGAAGAGGACTTGGATGTTCTGATGGTCAAGCGATACCCGGCATGGCGTGCCGAGTCCATTGTTTTCCACCTGATTCACAATTACGAGCGACTAACTGCCCTGCCGTGGAACCACTTCGATGAGGACACTCACGAGTTGCAGAGACAGATTTTGAAGAAATTGATTTCTGAGGCCCCTTGTAGCTCCGCGAGTTTTCTCCTGGGCAATCGAATTCGGTTCGCTTTTCCCTTTGCTGATGCCTCTAGTATCGACCTTGCGGTGCTCAGGCTCCAAACTGCCTGCACGCGCGTCGGCCCATTTGTGGCTGCGGCCATTCTCAAAACCTTCTGCAACGCGTGGGCGACCTCTGCCAGGTATAGGCAAGGCCGTCTTACCTGCCGTTTCGGTTGCCTGGCCACAGGCGGCGACCACGTCCAGCATTACTTCGATTGCCCTCATGTCCTGAGCTTGCTCCATTCTGTTTTGCCCTTCCTGCCAGTCGAATATTTGAATCAGAGCCTCGATGCGCGTATGCTGTGCACTATGCCATGCCAGTCTAGTCAGCAGTTGTTCTCTTTGTTTCTTTTTTCTACCTTTAACTCTTTGAGGAGCTCGCACAGGTACGGGCCCGAATGCCTGCTGCCTCTCCTGCGCGCGCGTGCCCGCCACATTGCCAAGAAGGGGCGCGGCGTGCGGAGCCTGCTCATCAGGAGGCCCGCGGCAGAGGGCAGCTGAACTGCCCCCCTCTCTGGCGCGCTCAGGGGAGTGCGATCATCATCATCATCATCATCATCATAAACATCATCATCAACGTCATAATCATCATCGGGACAACATCATCATCACCATCATCATCTCACCATCAACATCATCATCATCATCATCGGGACACAGTCATCGTCAGTATCATCAGCAGCATCATCAGAATCATCATCATAATCGGGACACCATCATGATCACCATCGTTCTCATCATCAACATTATCATCAACATCGTCATCATCCTTGGGACACCATCATCATTATCATCGCATCATCATCATCATCATCGACATCATCATCATCAACAACATCATCATCATCACCATCATTGGGGCACCATCGTTATCATGAGGAACATCATCATCAGCATCGTCATTATTATTATCATCGGGACACCATCAGCATCACCATCATCATCATCACCATCATCATCATCAGCATCATCATCGGGACACCATAATCATCATCAACATCATCATCATCATCAACATCATTATCGCCGGGACACCATTTCCATCAACATCATCATCACCAACATCATCGGAATCATCATCATCATCATCACCATCATCATCATCATCATCATCATCGGGACACCATCATCGGCATCATCATCATCAACATAATCATCATGAGCATCATCGTCCTCATCATCGGGACACTATCATCATCGACACCATCATCAGCATCATCATCATCATCTTCATCGGGACACCATCATCATCATCATCATCATCATCTCATCATCTCATCATCATCATCATCATCATCATCATCATCATCATCATCATCATCATCATCTCATCATCATCATCCTCGCGGGACACCGCAGGACACTGGCGGGGCACCGCGGGACACCGCGGGACACCGCGGGACACCGCGGGACACCGGCGGGACACCGCGGGGCCCCGCGCCCCGGATGAGAAACATTTGGTCCGGCCGCGCCTCAGCCACAGGAGGACACCGCGGGGCGCCGGCGGGACACCGCGGGGCCCCGCGCCCCGGAAGAGAAACATTTGGTCCGGCCGCGCCTCAGCCACAGGAGATTTTTTCTCGCCCGCCCACGCAGCTTCGCCTCGCACGCACGGCACGCACGAACACGAAACCGAAACCGATTTCCCGGTGGGAGGCTCGCCGTTCCACTTCGATCTCACCCCCTCACCTCCGATAGCCCTATAGCCCAATAGCCCAATAGCCCAATAGCCCCATAGCCCCATAGCCCCATAGCCTTATAGCCCTATAGCCCTATGGCCCTATAGCCCTATAGCCCTATAGCCCTATGGTCCTAAAGCCCTATAGCCGTATATAGCCCTATAGCCCGAATAGCCTTACAGCCCTTAGCCCTATAGCCCTATAGCCCCATAGCCCTAAAGGCTTCTAGCCCTATATCCCTATGGCCACATCGCCCTATAGCCCTATAGCCCCAATAGCCCTAAAGCCCTAAAGCCCCATAGCCCCCCCAAATTCTGATTGGGTTTTTTCTCTGGTATCATTTTGGTTCTTCGAACATTTTTGGGTTCTAAGAGCATTTCGAGGCAAGCCTATAGGAATGGCGGGACGGTCGTCCCGGCTCAATACTATTGTAGGCCTCCTACTACCCTCCTTAAAAGTAGGGGCGGCGCATGCAAGTATCTCGCAGTCATCGCCACTCTGTCCAAGACATCTCCCAACAAACAGTGCAGCCAAGGACGACTTTTTTGAGGTACTTTTGACGAGGTTTGTAGATGGGGTTGGAGTAGATGGGGTCGGAGCTTCGTGCCGCATTGCCGATGCATCGGCGATGCATCGGCGATGCGGCTCGATGCGGGGTGCGATTTTCTCCACGCCGACGAGGCCGATGCATCGCCGACGTCGCCAGTGCATCGCCGATGCATCGGCGATGCATCGCCGATGTATCAGCGATGCGGCGAGATCCTCCGACCCCATCTACTCGGACCTCATCTAGGATGCCTCTAACTGCCCTCCTCTGTTTTTCCCCCCCCGATCCTGCTCTTGCCCTCCATGCGCGGGCGGCAGAGAGGGGGGGTGATGACCAGGGGGGGGAATCTCGTTGCGGGGGCCATGAGATCTCCCCCCAGATTTCTTGGCGCCTCTTCTTATTTCAATACGTCCCCGGCCCCCCCTGGGCCGCGCACATGCCGCCGGCCATGATTTGCGCTCCCCCTCTTGGACGCCCTCCTCTTGGACGCCCCCGATCCATCTCCGCTCCCAGGCACTGCCTGCCTCCGTCCAGATCATCAGCCCTTCCTCATTGCCGTCCCCCCAGGCTTTCGCCTCTGCACTCCCATTCTGGCGCCGTGGCCCCTACAAAGTCGCCCACTTTGACCCCCCGCGCCCTCCAGAACCCCTGTGCCACCAGAATCTGCGTGGAGGTCCGAATAACCCTTCCCGGTTCCCTCCCTCTTCCTCTATTCTCTCTTCCGCTCCTCGCCTCGCCTTTCCACCGTGTTCCCCCTTGCCTTGCATGTGTGGGGGAAGGAGTCGTCGGGCACCCACCCGCGTAGGTCCTGGGCTCCGCGCCATAACTGGCGAGGTGTTGCCTATTGGCCAGATCTCCAGCGCCCGATGTCGACTACGACCAGCACCTCCTTCGGGGAGAGTGGGAGACGGATGTGGACAAGGAAGAGGAGGAAGGGAGGAGGAGGAGGAGGAGAAGGAGGAGGAGGAGGAAGAGGAGGAGCAGGAGGAGGAGGGCGGAGGAGGAGGAGGAGGAGGATCATAGGAACAGGAGGGGGCTGGGGATGGGGAGGCAATGGACAGGGGGAAGGGTGAGGATGTGCTCCGCTTCCCCGCGCCTAGAGGCTGCTGGAGAGCCTGCAGAAGCAGAACGGCGAGTACCCAGAGTCGATCGCGTTCACTCTGTGGGGCGCGTCCCCCCGCTTCCCCCACACTTTTCATTCATTTTAAATCGGCGTCCCAAGCTACCAGATGGCGGCACATTGTCAGGTGGCAGGTTGTGCTCATATGCGTTTGCGCCTTAGGCCTGCTGGGCGCCAGTAGCGCGCGGCGCTTGCGCAGTGCAGTACATATGGTTGTAAGCCGTGAGGGCCTCTGGCCACGGAGCGGAAGAAGGATGAGGAGGAGGGGGTGAGATGAGGAGACGGGATGACGTGGAGAAGGAGGAAGACGAGGGAACGTGATGATTTCCAGACCTCGAAGAGTTCAAGCGCCATTGAGACCGATGCCCATCGAAGGCGTCGATGACCAGAAGGCAATCCGTCCCCTGCATGTAGTGGTCGGAGGGAACGTGTCTGGTCATGATACCCCTCCTGCTCCTCCCTGCTCATGAGGGCTGGTTTTGGCAGAGGGGCGCTGACGATGTTGCTAGAAGCCTGGCTGGATCCTGCGCCCTTTACGCCCGGAGCTAGCTCGCTGTGCTCGGAACGCCGAGGAAGCCTCGGGATGGTAATGGCGGCACCAGCGACTCGATGCGATAGGGAGGATGGCTGCTTCGACAAACCACGAGAAGCTCGATGCAGAGCGCGTGCCGCGCTCGTGTCCCGAGCACCCCCCGCCCCCCCGTCATGGGGCCGGAGGATCGCCGACGCACCGCCGAAGCATCGGCGAGGCGGCGCGACCTGGAGCCCCCGCGGTCTCCTGCTCGGCGTCTTTGGTCCAAGGGGGGGGTCCAGCTGCAAGGGGATGGTGCAACAGGTTTGGGGCAATCGCATTGCAAGTGTACTGCGCCATGTGTGCATTGCACTGCAATGCAATGCAATTGCATCGTATTGCATTGCGATGCAATGCAATGCAATTGCATTGCATTGAACTTTCGTATTGCACGCGAAAGCCCAGCGATACATTTGCGCACCGGAATGTCCTGCACGCCCAGAATCTGTTGCAACCCCCAAAATCAATTGCACTAGATCCATTGCACCACCTCCTTGTCGCTGTGCCCCCTTTTGGGGTCAACCAACACGTCGCCGATGCATCGTGGGTGCATCGGCGATGCGGTGCGCCCCTCCGACTGCATGCGGGCAGTCTCCACAGAGGATTCGCTCGCACTCTCCGCGTGCCCCTGCGAGCGGGGGCGGAGCAGACGTGGTGGGCCCTCTGGATCGCACTGCGCCGCCGCTGCGCCGGCAGTGAAGGGGGCGATCGGGGCGCCAGGTCTGTCCGTCGCGAGATTGCCGATGCGCCGTCGATGCGTCGGCGGTCTCGGTCAACATGTGGGCCGCTCGCTGACAATAGCGCTGTTTGAAATCCAAAGGTCGCCATCTCCCATACGCGATCTCCTACCTGAACAAAACCCATGTTTTTCTGCTTTGACTGCCTCCTACTCTGCTGTAACCGCCTTTCTTCTTCATCATGCTTCTACCAGCTTCTTCCGAACGGCCTGTACTTCGTTGACCCGTCGTGCCCAACGTCAGGCCCCTGGACATTCTGGGAAGCGACATCTTATCGTAGGCCAGTGTTGGGGGTCTCCCGGCGTGGCAACGTCCCCTGGACACCTAACATGGCGAAGCTCTTCGGCGTGCTTTCGTTTCCGAGACGTTGAGCATCCTGTCCCGGCTCAGGAGGCTTGCACATCGGGAGGTCGGCCCAGTCAGCGGGAACCAGGGCCACCCACGACATTCTGCAGTCCGTGCCCGCGAGAATCGCACCAGCCCTGTAAGGCGTATAGGTGGTTTAGGGCGTTTCTTCTTCCACCCCTACTTCTTCCCCTTCGGGGAGGGGTTTACCCTTCCCCCTTAACTACTCCCCTGGACCTTGACGGGGGGTTCAGCGGTTAGTTGGAGCGTCCAAAACGGCCTCGGCGAGGAAGCCAACATCATTGATTTTACTAAGGTTTTGGTCCAATGTTGGCCTCCTGGAGGGGGGACCCTAAGTAAGGACCCCCCTTTCTTTGATCGATCTCCTCCGAGAGTGCCCCAAGAGCGCTCCCAAGGCTCCCAAGGGTGCCCAAAGAGGGTTCCAAGAGGCGGCCAGGAGGCCCCAAGGGGCCCCCAAGAGGACCCCAGGATGCCCCCAGGATGCTCCTAAGAGACCCCCGAGAGGCCCAAGAGGCCCCCCAGGGGCACCCAAGACGCTCCAAGAGGCCCTGGCGAGAATACCAAACTCATTTATTTTATCCAGGTTTTGGCCACATGTTTTGGCCTCCTGGGGGGCACTGATTAAGATGACTCCAAGAGCGCCTGGGAGAGCCTAAGATCACCTCCAAGATGGCTTAAGATAGCCCAAGATGCCTCTAGATGGCTCCCACGATGCTCCAAGAGGCCTCACGACCGCTCCAAGACGGCTCCAAGTGGCCAAAGAGCTCCCCCAGGAGGCCCCGAAGAGGCCAACATCCTTCCAAAACTCTGGGGACATCAATGTTTTTGGCTTTCTCGCCTTTTCGCTTCCGACGGCCATCCGAGGCCTCAAGATGGCTCCAAGATGGCCCAAGAGGGCTCCAATAGAGGCTCAAGAGAGCCCCAAGGCGGCCCCAAGAGCGCACAAAAGCGCTTCAAGAGCGCCCCCAAAACGCCCCGAGAGGCGACTTTTGGGGCTCCCGATGGGGCAACGCTAATTGATGCTCCCCTCTTGTTTGATCGATGTCCTCCAAGATGGCCCCAAGAGCGCTCCCAAGAGCGCTGCAAGAGGGCCCCAAGAGGCGCCCAGGAGGCCCCAGGAGCCCCCAACAGGCGCCCAGACGGCCTCCAAGAGGCTCCCAAGAGACCCCCAAGAGGCCCCAAGAATCTCTCCGAAGCACCCAAGACGCTCTAAGAGGCGTCCGGGACCGCCAAGAGGCCCCCAAGACGCTCCAAGAGGCCTCCACCGTGGGACCCTTCCTCTGTGTGCTGCCCGCTTCCCTGATCGAGGCAATTCCTGGGCATCGTTTCTGGATGGGCTGGTGGGCTTACTTTTTTTTTTGGTTCGCGACTCCAAGGCGAGGGACAGCGAGCGGGCACAACGTCCGGGGCGCGGTACGATGTAAATTGGCGCGAGATTGCCGCAGACTCCAGCGGCCAACACACGTAGTGGCGCATGCACATGCCAGGGACAAAAAGACCCTCATTGAGACGCAAACCAGCGTCGGCAGGTGACCGGCCCAGACATCCCGGCAGGTGGGGAAGCGAAGGCGCGGCGACCGGCAGCGGAACGGGGGGGAGAAGTCGCCCTTGCGGCGCCAAGCTCCAGCCGAACCGCATTCGTAAGCGAGGCCAAGACGGACAGCGGGGCGCTGTGAAAGCCGCAGGCAGAACGCGGATCCGAATGGCCAATGACCAGGCGAAGCCCACGTGAGTGCACACAGGGACAGGCCGTCCAAGACCACGGAAAAGAGAGGGGGGTGAGTGCGAGCGCGAGCGACTAACTCAGACTCACTGCGGCACCCCGGGTAAACGATGGTGCGGCGAAAGAGGCCTGACTCACCAAGGCTGACTGAAGCTGAGGTGTGGCTGATCCGCGTCAGAGCGCCATCCAGTAGAGGAAGACCACTGGTGTGCGTTCACGAGGCTGGCTGGTGGGCTTACGCGAAGCGTCTAGAATTTCACAAGAGCCTCGCAGTATCTGCTTTCGTCTTCGGGAGTGCTTCAGGATAGAGGCGAGAGGGGGAGGACTGAGGGAGGAGTGAGGAGGGGGGATGACGAGGACGACGGAGGAAGGGGGATGTGGGGAAAGGGAGGAGGAGGGGAGGAGGACGAGGAGAAGGAGAAGGAAGGATGAAGCGGCGGTATGAGGGAGTAGGAAGAAGATGAGGAGGGAGGAGGGGGGAGGGAGGAGGGGGGAGGATTGGGGATCAGTAGGGGAAGTAGGAAAAGAAGGAGGATGAGTTCGAGGGCGGAGACAGGCTGGAGGAGGGAATAAGCTTGACGGAGGGAGTTATTGAGGAGTGAGCGGAGGAAGGAGGAAGGAGGAAGGGCAGGGATGTGAGTCGTGTGTGTGTGTGTGCGTGTGCGTGTGCGTGTGCGTGTGTGTGTGTGTGTGTGTGTGTCTGTCTGTGTGTCTGTCTGTGTGTCTGTCTGTGTGTGTGTGTGTCTGTGTGTCTGTGTGTCTGTGTGTCTGTGGAAGGGCTTGCCGTCGTCTTCGGCGGGCTAGCGAGCCTCTCGTGCGGTCTCTCCCCTAGGCACCGACAATATCAAGACCTACGGCGAGAGCCTGGCACAGGTCGGGGGGCGAGGAATATCACACGGAGGAGGAGGAGGAGGAGGAGGAGGAGGAGGAGGAGGAGGAGGAGGACAGGTCAAAGTGATTGTGCAGTAGCAGGCATGTTTGGCTATATGACCAGGTGCGGGCCCCGCAGCGCGCTTCCAACCAAGACGAATGCCGCGAGGCCACGACGCGAGCTGCGAGGAATATCAACACAGGCCGCAACGAGTTGGACGGCCATAGCAGCAGTAGGAGCAACAGCAGCAGCTGCATCGGCGCTCCCTCACGTCTAAAAGCACGTTGGAGATACTTACCCGTGCATGGTGGCCTGTGCCACACAGGTGCCGTCCTTGGCAGGATGATGATGATGATGATGATGATGATGATGATGATGATGATGATGATGAGGAGGAGGAGGAGGAGGAGGAGGAGGAGGAGGAGGAGGAGGAGGAGGAGGAGGAGAGAGCGAAGACAAGAAAGACGTCCAGCGGAGCAGCACATCGGTCTGCCAATCGACGGCAAGCGACATCTACAAGAGCCATGCGTATCATGCAGGCCTGCAGCGTCAGGGCAGGAGCTCCAGAGCCTGCGGGTGGGCGCGCGCGCGGCCTCCCCCAAATCCCTGCAGCAAGGCGTCAGAGGTCGCCGTCGTCGGGTGGTTGGAAGAAGAGAAGGGGAGACGTAGACGAAGGAGCACCTCTCCGATTGTGGTTGCTGGCGTTCACGGCGTGCATGACGTCATAGTGCTGCAGCGCAGTCTTGCTTTCGTGCTTTGGGCCTCGCGAGGGCTTCTTGTGCGAGCACCGTCCACCCAGAACTGTCCGCGCACGCGCTCCTAGCTGCGGCCCCTTCATCCTCCTCCTCCTTGCTCGCTTTTTTTTGTTCGCCCCAGCGGGCCCTGACGCCCTAGATGCCGCCACTCAGCACGTGAGCTGCTCAGGACCAATGAATGACATGGTTTTTCAGGGAACACAGGCTCCAATGATTCTGAATGTTTTTCCCCAAACCCTTTGGTATTATGTTTGTGCTTCCCTTGTACTTTTCCGTACGATCGTGCGTGCGAGAGATTCTGCAGCGCAATCAGGCCGTCAGGAATTTGTTGGCCGTGATGTCTGCATGACCTGCGAGGCGTGCTTGCTTGCTATATGCGCGAACCACCAACGACCTCTCGTGCAAAATGTGAAGCAGCCAGACTTCGGGGTCGTCCTTCTCCTGCCAGTGCCCAGACCCTTGAGACCTGGTCGCCGCGTGCACACACTCGCCGTTCACGAGCTCGACCATGCATCCGCTGACCGCGGCATGCCCTGGCAGAGGTGAAAGAAAAGCCGCGGGAGCCCACAGGAGGCGCCCCCCGCGGCCCGCGGCTCCTCCACGCCCAGCGCCGCCCTCCCCTCCTGCCCGCCGGTCTCCTCTGCGTGCGAGGCGGGGCAGCCTCGACCGTCGCCCCTGCTGCTGGCCCCCCCCGCCTCGCCCCTGCAGCCTGCGCCCCACGGCCTGGAGCTCCGCCGCCCGCAAGAGGCGCGGACGCACTCCACCTGCGCCCGGTGACCTTGGCGGCTTTACGGGCGGCGCCAGTCGGGGGCCATCGGCCACCGCCCGAGCCGCTTTCCTGGAGGGGCCAGTGGTGGCTCTGCCGGTCCCTGTTGCTCGTCTCTCATCCCCGTACACCCCCCCGTCGGGCCCCCTTCCCCTTCCCTGTCATCTCTACCAGCAGGGGGCGGGCATGCTTCCGTTTCGCCCGCCCCCTGAGATCTCGTGTGACCTTCCATGGCTTGCGTTCCGTTGCGCGCATGCGCGGAGGGTGGTCTATGGAGAGGGGTTCCCGCAAGGATCGCCCACATCTGAGCCTCTGCTCACATGCTCGATGTGGTCGATATTGTAATGGCCTCCGGCCAGTGCCGCCGATCCGGGGCGCTCCCGATGCGTGTGGGAACGGACGATGACGACGACGACGACCGACGACCGGGTCAACGACGGACGATGATGACGACGACGACCGACGACGACGACGACGACGACGACGACGACGACGACGACGACGACGACGACGACGACGAGATGGACGCTCTCCCGTCCTCGCTCGAGCTCCCCCCCCTCCCTCGATTCTTGGACCCCCCCCTTCGCGCTGGAGCGTTCAGTGAATTGCGTGGATAATTCGCCGGATCCCGAACCCCCTGTCCCCGCTCGAGCTTCCTCCTTGGACCCCCCCCCTCCCCGCTCGAGCTCGACCCCCCCCCTCCCCGCTCGAGCTCGACCCCCCCCCGTCCTGCTCGCTCGAGCTCCCCTCCCCCCCCCCCCCCCCCCTCGATTCTTGGACCCCCCCCCCCCCGCTGCCACTCGCCCCCCGGTTTCTTGGACCCCCCCACCCCCCCACCCGCTGGAGCTCGACCCCCCCCTCGTCCCCGCCTTGGAGCTTTCCTCCGGGGACCCCCCCCCCCCCCGCGTGAGCTCGACACCCCCCCCCTCCCCCCGTCCTCGCTCGAGCTTCCCCCCCCGCCCCTGCCCTCCTCCTCGATTTTTGGATCTCCGGAGACCTTTCCGCGGCGGGGGTGGGAGGGTCACCGCTCCTTCCCCCCTCCCCCCCCTCGATTCTTTTGCCCCCCCCTCCCGCTTTGAGCTTTTTTTGTTCTCCCCCCCCGTCCCCGGCTGGATGCTTCCTCCTTGTACCCACACCCCCCCCCCCCCCCTCGCCTTGACTTCGACCCCCCCCCCCCTCGGTCCCTCGCTCGAGCTTCTCCCCCCTCCCTCCCCCCCTCGTTCTTGAATCCCCCCCCCTCCCCCCCCCGCTGGCCCTCCCCGGTTTCTTGGACCCACCCCCCCCACCCTCCCCCCCCCGCTTGAGATCGACCCCCCACCCCCCCCCCTCCGTTCCCCCCCGCCGCTCGAGTTCCTCCTGGGACCCCCCTCCCCCGCTTATCTCGACCCCCCCTCGGCCCGTCCTCAGCTCGAGCTCCCCCTCCCCCACCCCCCCCACTCCGGGCCCCTGATTCTTGGACCCCCCCCCCCCTCTCTCTCCCCCCTCCCCCCCTCGAGTTCTTGGATCTTGGAGCCCCCCCCCACCCGCGCTGGAAGCGTTCCAGGTGAATTGCCCGTGGATAATTCGCGCCGGATCCCGACCCCCCCCAGAGCGAAGCTTGAGCGAGCTCAATAGAAAAGCTTCCTGCGCTCTCAGAAACTCACACGCCGGATCGGCGGATCTGCGGCGCCACTCCTCGCAAGCGGCCCGCGCTCCCCCCTCGGCCGTGCCCACCCTCACGTCATCCTCCTTCTTCCTATCCCTCCCAAGGCTCCCGACGGCCAAATTCAAGAGGCTGACGCCGTTCCGCCCCCCCAGAAGAATGGAGAGCGGCTTCCGATTTTGTCAGTGTGTTGTTCGCCGCTTCCCCTCTTGCTGCCTGCGTGTAGAGGTTGCGGATTTGTTCGTCTACTTCCTCCGCGTCTGTCGCGTGGCCTCGTGGAGGCTTGGGGGGTGCCTCTTGGGAGCCTTTTTAGGGCTTCTGGGGCCTTTTGGTACCCTCTGGGGGCTTGCTGGGGGCTCTTGGTGGCCTCTCGGGGGCAAATTGTGCGTATTGGGGGGCATCTTGTGGGTGAGGATTCCCAGCTCCTCTGCGAGTTCCACCTATTGGGCCTGTCTTGCTTCTCGTGGCCCAGTTTTTCGGGCATTCTATGTTGTCTTGAGGGCATCTAGGCATTCTTGGGGCTATCTCCGGCTCCTCTTGTGGGTCTCTTCGGTCGTCTTGGGACTGTCTGGAGGGCTTCTCGGGTCGTCTCGAGGCGAGAATACCAACATCGTTCAGAAACCATGGAGCATTTATCACTTCAGCCTTTTGAGGCCGTCTGATGGGTCCTTCGGGGGCCGTGTTTGGGGATCTTCGGGCCTCTAGGGCCGTCCTGAGGTTCTCTTGGGTGTTTTTGATGTCTCGGCGGCGCGTTGGAGCACTTTGGAGCCATGTTGCAAGGCATCTTGGGTATCCTGGAGGCCACGGAGCGTGGATCGTTCTCACCCCTCCCCCGTCTTCTCTCCCTCCCGAGACCGACGACATAGATTTTTTCGAGTCGTCTGCCCCTGGAGCTCTTGATTCCGTCCCCAGGGCCAGTTCTCCATCATGAATCGATTTCTGACGCCCCAGGCCACCGAAACAGCCCTCAGATGCCGAACATCTCGGGCAACTTCGTTGGCGACCTTTCTCGAGTCGCCAGAGAGCTGGTCTCTCGCCCGTCCTCCTGCCGAGAGGTGCTCGCTCTCGTCGGGACCAGGCCCGTGCCGGACAGCCTGGGACGGGTCAACAGGGTGGAGCTCATCCCGCTCGAGGAGCGCGCTGCCAGCCCCTTGGCAGAGCCCCGAATCATCAGGGGTACAGTCGGGGCGCTGAAGAAGGGAGCCTTTTCGTTGGGGAGGGGCTCGGTGTTCCTGGACTGTTTTACAGTCTGCCTTGGGTTTTCCTTAGGTTTTCCATGGGGAATCGAATTTAAACTTATGGGAAAAGGGGACCTTGTTCCTAATTTAGGGTTCCTTAAGTCAAGGCCCCGACTGTAACTCGGGTCATGGCTAACTCGGGTATGTTTACGGGGATCCGAACCCGATTTGCCCCAGGCCCGAGTTACCCCGGATCATCCGGGCGTCCAGAGCCCCAAATCATCAGGGGCAGCTCGGGTCAGGGCTAGCTCGGGTTCGTTGTTCGGGAATCCAAGCCCGAGTTGACCCGGGCCCGAGTTGCCCCCCGGATGACTCGGGCGCCCAATCTTGGTGGATAGGATGGCGGGGGGGAGGGGGGGGAGGTGGCAGGCGGTGCACACATTCCAGGGACGCATCTCCGGCCTGGCCGTGGAAGACCAGGAAGCGACGCTGCTCGGAGCAGCCAGGCAGGCGATCGGATGCGTCGTGAGCGACGCGGACAGCTGTATTCGGCAGCTGTATGACAATGGTCCTTGCAGGACCCTCCTACTCATCTGCCACCACCTCCTTCAATGTGCACAGCCCTCCCAGCTTGATTGCGAATCACACGTTGGGCGAATTTTAGGGATCCAGACCCGCCAGCACACCCGTCGGTGGATAGAGAAAAAATGAGCGCAACGGGACGGGATGGGTGGGAGGGGTAGGATGTCAGGTTTGGCGTGCGAGCACCTAGCTGTTTGGCGTGCGAGCACCTAGCTTGTCCTTCACAGTTACACAATTTGAGTACTGCTCTCCATATAATGGTGCGCCGCCATCCGCGTATTGTACCTTTCACACGATTGGGCCGAATTGTTGTTTTGTTATCCGTTTTTCAATCCGAGCGTTTCCGGTCTTTTCAAAGGGGTGCTGCAGCGTGGGCCTCTTTTTTAGGATCGGCGTTTGGCTCCTTTTGTTCAGAATGGTGTTCTCGCCCCAGCGTGGGCCACTTGTCTGGGTCCGAGTCCTTCCTATCTTTGTGGCCCCCCTCCTTTACCTTTCCCTGCCTTCTCCTGTCAATTACTCCTACTCTTCTCGCTCCCTCCAGTCCAGCTCCTTCTGCTGCTGTTCGTTCTCGTCCTTCTGCTTCCTCATCCTACAGTGGAGGCCCATGGCAAGAAATACCCTGCTTGCCTCCAGGGTTCCCTGGTTTTCTTGGGTCTCGATGGTTCTGCTGTGGAAGGGGTGACGTTCCCACACCAAAAATCAACGGACGCCTGGGGGTCTCAGGGTTGGGTTTCTTGTGGAAGGTTTCTTGTGGAATGGCCTCCGCTGTGCTCCTTGTCCTCCCGCTCATCCTGCTGCTCATCTGCTACCTCCTCCGATGGCGCGCAGCTCACCTGATTCGATTACGCATGACACGATAGAGGTCCTTTTTGGTGTTGCAGGTCCGCTATGACTCGCGTCGGCGCTTAGAGAAGAAATCCGCCGATCCGGCGTGTGAGTTTCTGAGAGCGTGGGCTTGAGCTGGCTCAAGCTTCGCTCTGCGGGGGGGGGACCTCATTTCCGACCTAATTCAGTGCTTCGCAACCCCCCCCCCCGCCAGAGCGGACCCCCCCGCCTGCAGATGCGCGGAGCGCGCCCCCCACCCCCCCTCCTCCTGCGCCCAGGCCCGCCCCCGCCCCCGCCCCCCTTCCCCGCAGAGCGACGAAAAACCCCCCCTGCACAGCAGAAAGCATCCCGCCCCCCCTGCAGATAGCGACCCCCCCCGCCCCCCCCTCCCCTGGCAACTGCCCCTGCAAGAGCGGAACCCACGTGGCCTGCAGAGCGGGACCTCCCCCCCTGCAGGACCCTCCCCCTCCTGCAGAGTGGACGCCCCCCCCTCTCCCCCTGCAACCACCCCCCCCCCCCCCCTGCAGAGCAGACCTCCCCTCCTGCATTCCCGTCCCCGCTGGCAGAGCGGACCCCCCCCTCGCCCCCCTGCCGGCCCAGCCGCCCGGCCCCCCCCCCCCCACCCCCCTGCAGAGCGGACATCCCCCCGTGCAGCCTCGCCCCCCTGCAGAGGAGGAGAAGCGGACCCCCGCACCCCCCCTCCCTCCCCTGCAAACCCCCCCCCTCCTGCAGAGCAGACCCCCCCTCCTGCAGCCCCCCCCCCCCTGCAGAGCGGACCCCCCCTATCCCCTGCAGCCCCTCCCTCTGCCGAGCGGACCCCCCCTGCAGAGCAGACCCCCCCCCCTGCAACCCAGCTCCCCCCCCGTCGTCGTCGTCGTCGTCGTTGTCGTCGCGTCGTCGTCGTCGTCGTCGTCGTCGTCGTCGTCGTCGTCGTCGTCGTCGTCGTCGTCGTCGTCGTCGTCGTCGTCGTCGTCGTCGTCGTCGTCGTCGTCGTCGTCGTCGTCGTCGTCGTCGTCGTCGTCGTCGGTCGTCGGTCGGTCGATCGTCGTCGTCGTCGTCGTCGTCGTCGTCGTCGTCGTCGTCGTCGTCGTCGTCGTCGTCGGTCGTCCGTCGTCGTCGTCGTCGTCGTCGTCGTCGTCGTCGTCGTCGTCGTCGTCGTCGCTCGTCGCCGTCGTCGTCGTCGTCGTCGCTCGCGTCGTCGTCGTCGTCGACATCGCCGTCGTCGTCGTCGTCGTCGTGTCGTTGTCGTCGTCGCTCTCGTCGTCGTCGTCGACGTATTCGTTTTCGTCGTCGTTTTCGTCTTCCTCGTCGTCGTTCATTTCCACAGGCACCCGGAGCGCCCCGGATCGGCGGCACTGGCCGGAGGCCACTACAATATCACCGCCATGGAAAGGGATGGGCGGGAGGAGCAGAATGTCACATATGGCGCGAGCGCACCTGGCTTGCCCCTCCCCCCTCTCTTGCCTCCCGTCTGCTGTTTCCTGCCTCTCTCCTCCTCCGAATCCTGCCTCCCTCCTTCCTGCCTCTTCACTCGTCCCTGCTGCCTTCTTGCTCCTCCTCCCTCTTCACTCCATCCCTCCGTCGTGTTGCTGATCTTATTCCTCCTCCTCTTTCTCCTCCATCCGTGCTTCTTTAGAATACCTCTTCCCCCGTCGCATACCCAGGCGTGTTGGTAGGGCGGCCCGGACGTTTCGGCCGCGATCCTGGAGTCTTGAAAATTGCAACAGCTTCAAAGAGATGGAGGGCGGATCGTGTTCAAAATGTGGTTATCACTTCAGCGCCGCGCACATTCGTCTTCTCGCAGCAATCTGGAGGAAGGACGGCGGGTCTTTTTCGACATGTGGCCCTTGCATTAGCGCCGTGCACACGTCGCAGAAATCGCAGCAGTTCCAAGTATGGAAGGCGGTTGGTTTTCAACATGTAGCTCTCGCCTTGGCGCCGCGCACATTCGTCTTGAACCATCAATTAGATTAGCTTCAACAGTAGATGGCGGGTGGATTTAAAAATCGAGTTCTCGCCGTAACGCCATGAGCATTCGTTGTACACGTGCACACCCCTTCAGGGGTTCGTATGGTTGAAATCCCAGGAGTGGTGTCCTGGCACGATTTAGGAATGTGAGGACGCAATCGTCAGGAATGGTGTTTTGGCACGATAGAGTATTCCTAGGTTGATTTCCAATGGGGGATTTCCCGCAATGGCAACACTTTCTTGCAGGGACATATGAAGAGGGAACTTGGAGGGAGGGTTTACTGCAACATCGTTGATGCGTCTTGGGTTTACGCTCGTCCTCCTCCTCCTCCTTCTCCCCATCCCCCTTCTCCTCCTTCCCCCCCTCCTCCTCCTCCTCCTCCTCCTCCTTCTCCTGCCAGAGCTCCAGAGACGCCGAAGATACTGAGTTTTACATGCTGGCGACATTTTCTGTGCTTCCCGAGATGGACGGACCTCTCACGGTTTTTTCGGACTGCCCAGGGTCAATCGTTTGTTCTGTGAACCGGAAAAAGGCGCTCTCCCCAGCGATCGCCAACCGGCACTTTTGGAGGCTTTGGTAGCAGAGGCATGGTGATGGCGCGCCGCGCCGCGCCCAAGATCTCTCCCAGCAACTCTGATTTGGAGCTGGACCCGAGTTGGTACATCCCGCGGGCTGGACGACGAGGACGCCATGACACAACTCTTCTGAGAGAGTTGACAACCAGCATGCTTGAGTGATGCCGTGAGGCATGCAATCGCCCGCGGGAACTCCTTGCGTATGGCCTGCTCCGATGTGCACATGCGAATCCTGAGGCCATCCACCCAGATGCGGAACTGCAGGCTCCTAAAGCGGTAAGGAAAATCGTAGAGGATATTGCGAAGGAAGGCCCGTACAAGAGAACAAGGTCGACCGCAACATTGCAGGGTGGAAACCTCAGGTACCCAGATTGTTCAACCGATGTGGGAGGTGAGGGCTCGGCCCGCTGTGTGAACCACCAATGCCAGGGCCAGGGCATTTTTGGGGTACCCGAGCGTCGCCGCAGTTTTCGCTCAAACCTCAACATTGATGGTGTCGAACATCTTTTCGATGTCAAGCGAAGCCTCGGTCATCGGGATGCCTCCAGCGTTGTTGATCTCAGCCGCCATCTCAGGATGAACGTCAGCCCCCGAGGGCTGGTTGCCTCGCAGGGCCTGGTCCCAGAACCCTGCTTTGGCCGTGTCCTACTCAGATAATTCAAAGCGCAACAACTTCACACTACTTGGTAGAGTCCGCATGCCAGCGTAAGCAGCCTGCCACAGACCGCATTCTCAGGCTGCAGACAATACAGTTGAGAAGCGCCTGAGTTAGGAACTGCTGGAAAAACTAGTTTTCAAGGCGGAGAACAAACAGCCTTCAGGCGGAAGAAGCGGGAAATCTCGAACGTCAAAACATACAGAACAAGAATTGCAAAGACCTCCCTGACATCCCAAGAGAAGTTATCCCGGTCCCAAGGATCCATGGTCCATGGCACCCCGAACGATCTGGGTCATCCAGTAGGGCCCCACAGGGGCAGGGTGGTTCAGGCCTTCAGGGTCCCACTTGCTCATCCAATAATCCATCGTACGGTCCATAACCGCCTTGGGGTCCGTGATCACGGTGCCGGGAGGGTCCACGTAGGAGTCCAGGGGATCGGGGAGGTCCGACGGGGGCTCGGTGATGGCGCGTGCAGCCCCCCCCCCTCCTTTAACCAGAGAGTCGTGCAAGAACTGCCGAAAACCCTCCCTAGACACCCTCAACTCCTCGGTAGTAATTACCAGTGCGGAATGCCATCTAGGACGGTGATGGCCTTTGAATGCGTGGCGTCGTCGTTGTAATCATGCAGATACTTGTCTAGAACATCTGTCCCATCTTGTGGGATGTCTGGCTCAGGCAGTTCCTTCCAGAATCAAGTAATAACATATTGATGCCAACAGTGGTGAACATCCCGAAAAACACCACTGGAAGTGGTTGGGGTCTTATTCTTGACCCTGTCGATACTTGGCCTATCCCTCTGTTGAGCTCTCATGGCCATCGTCCCCCACTGATGAGATAGAGAGGCCAAGCTGCCCTGCGTCGGGGCTGCCGGCAGATGCTGCTTCCATGTCAATTGCGAGCCCGTCTGCCTGCTGGAGCTCCACTCTTCGGTGCAACTGGGCGTGCAGGTCACTCAACTGCTGCGAGTGATGCTGGTGGCAAACAGGATGCTGCGGGAGTCCTGTCCGACCTACTTTCAAGACGGCCTGGCCAATGATTGCGGTTCCATGCCCTTGGAGGGTCTTGCGCAATAGGAAGAGGGGGTTGTTTGACCAGGGCCCTGCTTCGGGCTTCGTTTTCCCAATGCGGCTTGCTGTTGGGGCCGTCGCGTCCAGGGCGAGCTGTTTTTCAATGGTCAATGGTAGTTTTAAGTCGGGTCTGTCCCTCTACAGGAGGAATGTTCAAAAATAGTCAAGAAATAGTTTTGGGGACGATTTTGATTATGTTGGGCTATGTTTGAGCATGTCCTGACAACTTTTGATTGATTTGTCCAAAATCGGGCTGTAGGGGACATGCCCGACCTAAGAGTAGTTCTTCCGTCACGGTTGGTGTAGGGAACATCAGGCAATGACAGGACCCCGTTGATCATGCTCAGAACGCTTGCTGCTTCGAGGGCATGCGGTGGCATGTTGAAATCGCCTCCCAGATTGAAAGACATGCGCATTTGACTGGTTAGCGTCACCAGTTAACGAAGGATAGTGACATTCTCACCGGCGTAACCTATGGAGTCCCACAGGTGCGCACCGAGGATCAAGACGGCGACCCCTTGTAGCCTCAAGACAAAGCTCGTCCACTGTTCCCCCGAAGCCACTCAAAGAGGCCTGTCTCGGGAAGCCATGAATCTAGCGTGAGTGTGATACTGCGCTTTGGCCCCAACGTAGTAGTCGTAGTAATAGTGCAGCAGCAGCAGCAGTAGTAGTAGTAGTAGTAGTAGTAGTAGTAGTAGTAGTAGTAGTAGTAGTAGAAATAGTAGTAGTAGTCGTCGTAGTAGTAGTAGAAGCAGCAGTCGTAGTATTAATAGTATTATTTTTATTAGTAGTAGTAGCAGCAGCAGTAGTAGTAGTAGTAGTAGTGGTAGTAGTAGTAGTAGTAGTAGTAGTAGTAGCAGCAGTAGTAGTAGTAGTAGTAGTAGTAGTCGTAGTAGTAGTAATAGTAGTAGTAGTAGTAGTAGTAGTAGTAATGGTGGTAGTAGTAGTAGTAGTAGTAGTAGCAGCAGCAGCAGCAGTAGTAGTAGTAGTAGTAGTAGTAATAATAATAGTCGTAGTAGTCGTAGTAGTAGTAGTAGTAGTAGTAGTACTGGAGTAGTAGTAGTCGTAGTAGTTA